AGTGTTTGGTGATATTTGGATATATTTGAGTATATAAGTAAACAAAAAAATTACCAAGCAAAGAATCAAAAATAAAATAAAATTAATAAAAATTGTTTTGCCCTATTGGGTATAAATTGTTATGTAAATATAACTGATAATCAATTGTATTTTTGTCATAATCTTTGTGATCATCAGTGATTGATTTTTTTAATGTCGAAAAAGTTTGCAATTTTTACGTTTTGTTTTGAAAATATCACCACAAGCACAAAACTTGTTTAATTGTATGAGTGCTGGTAAGTCCTCTCTTGTAAGGTTGTTCTGATTGATTTCATAGCCTAATGCACAGCTATTTGGATAAAGTAAACCATAGTTCCATCTATTTGATAAGGGGGTGTAAAATAACAAAATTTTTTAGTTGAGCCAATCAGTAATAATGTTCACAGCTCACCGTCAAAATTTGAGCCTTCAAATCCATGTGTCTAGAATTATCTACATTTGAATGTTAAAATGACAACTCATTTTGGGGGTATCGTGAAAATTTGTTAATTTAAGATTTACCTGATGCAAACTTTCGAGTTGTAAGCGATACCATGGAAGAAGATGGGTATGTTTTGGTGACTATACCCAAAGATGCACTCCAATACCGGTATTTGGAGGGACACCGTAGAATCTGAATGAAAGAATCCAAATATCTTTTATACTACAGGGTTGGTGTGTTCGACCGGACTTGCTGGATGCCTCTCAAGATCCCCAAGAAAATGGTAAGTGTTTGAGCTAGCCCAGTATGTGTTGCTAACTTTTATCAGAGAGAGTATTTATATGGAGAGTTTTCGGTTAACCTCTATCAAAAATAACTATCAGAGACCATATGGAGAGTCAGCAAGTTTTTGGTTAACCTCTATCAATAATAACTATCAGAGACTGGGAAGATCCGGGAACTTACTGAATTTAAGGATTTTCGAGAAATATAGTGGAAGTGGGATACTCAGGAAGATGGGAGAATGTATCGGTCTGGCAAGATGTAGTGTCAGTGTCATTCCAGATGATGATGATTACACCACAGATGAAGATTTTGATTCTGAAGATGTTTCTTGGTCATCTTTCCACAGCCAGTCGTGTACAACACGAAAGAAAGATGGCGGAAGGTGTGTGTCACGAAATGTGCTCTGTTATTGTTAAGAATTTCTGATGTAAATACAAGATATTTCACCGAGAAGGCAATGATTATGTATTATATCATCTTCATGGACTATTGTTTAAAAGCTAAAAGTGTATTTTGAAAGTATACGAGTACGTTTTGACATGAAACATGATGAAGACTTGTCGCTAAGTGGATCGCCAGTCACTCAAGGTAAACAAACCAGTTTTATTGACAAACACTGTGTTGAAGACATAGTTCGTAAGGCCCTTTCGGTTGCTGTCAAACAACTTGAACCTGATTTAACATGACAGTTAAAAACGTTGAAATCATCAATAAAGTCTCTAAACATCCAAGTGTAAAAAATGTCTGGTTTACAAATGGGAAAATTATCATCCAAGGCCATAATAACAATTCGTGCAAACTTCAATGTGACACGGATATCGATAAACAACTTTCAAGAGCACCAAAACACTATCGCTCGACGTAAATCTATGTATTCTGATTTTTTCACTGACATAGCTTTATAACAGAAATTAATGATAATTTGATGTTCTGTTTACGAAATGGCATTGAATAAATATATATATTACATAGTTGTCGGAGAAATTTGAACACTGGATGTCTATGAGTCTGAGTAGTTTTCAATATATGTGTCATACTATGATGTGGAATCAGTAAGAGATCTAGAAATCTTCTATCTCACAGCCAGTCGACATAATTTAGCTCTCAGCGGGGTCGGGATGTTTCGGACAATTGTGACGTTTGTTCACAAGCTTGACAATCGGGGCAAACGTGCAATCGCGGGGGGCAATTTAGCAAAGCACCTTGACAGACGATTAAACGTCGGGAAACGGACTTTCACGGAGTATTTTAGATTCGAGATTATTTTTGTTAAAACACACAAGTTATAATACGTTACATTTTTATTGCCGTTTTAGTTTAAACGTAGTCGGGTATGTTTTATGGCAAAACGTTGAACAAATACGTCCAAGTTAATTTTCTGGGTTTTTTTTTTGATCAAATATTAATCCATTTTTCTACTTTGGGTTGTTTGATTCATATGAATACAATTTAGGATAATATATGTCTATTGGTTAGTATTGATAATCAACCAATCAAATCCTTTGAATTTTGAGACGGGACAGATTACAATCCAGTATCAGACCAATAATTTTGTTACCAACGACGCTTTACTGCAGACTTTTTATGATTTTCAACGAACCCAATTGTATCAAATTATCTATTCTAATGTAATTAAATTTAAAAATGTTATTAAAAGCTATGATGTCTGGTTTCATCCTCAGCTAAGTATAAACAGAAAGATATTTAAAACAGTTCTTAAGTAGGCCTACAGATAGAAATACTTAGTATTTTGTTGAACCATTTCGCATAACGCAGCCCTGAAAGCCATAACCTTATTTTTCGTTACGTAAAATCGAAATATCGAATACTCATCATATGATCGATAATGCAAGAGCAGCTGA